TGATGAACTAAAGATCTCAAATTTTCATTAATCGGTTCATAAGACCACTTTCCAGTCTTCAGTAAATCACTGACAGTACTTCACAGCCCAGGCAAGCCTCTTTGTTTTCTTATTTTGCTATCTTAGCAATGGCTTTCCTACAGCCACTCGACCTGTCAAGCCTGCAGCTCGAAGTCTGCTCTTCACAGTTGAAACTGAGACTTGCTTACTTCGAGCAGTGTTAAGCTAAGCTTGAAGTTGTTGTACTGTGAGCTGCCTGTCAAGCTGTTGACTCTTAGAAATGTATCTTCTGATTCTGTTGTGACTTTGGGTCTGCCAGACCTCCTCCTGTCAGAGTTTCCTCCAGTTTCCAAGTGCCTTTTGATTGTGTAGGGAACTGTACTCACTGACACCTTGGCTTTCTTTGCAATTTCTCTAAAGGGAACACCTACATTTTTAAGGGTTATAATGATCTGCCTGTATTCCTTTTGTTAATTGCCCTTTTCCTTATCATGAGAATAATTTGCAGGACAATACTGTCCAAATAATTTGCATAAGTGGGTATAGTAACACTGTCTGTCTCAACTCTGCTTTTATACAGAGAGCTTGTAAGTAATCAACAAAAGTTGGGACAGCTGTATGAATTGTTAGCATAAATTTTCATACTTTACTTGCATTGTTGCAGAAAAACGGTGAGTTGTTAACTCATTACTACTTGTTTCATTCCTAAGAAATAAAAAAAACATTTTTCATGGGATACTGTTGCCAAGCAGGTACATGGACCCATCACATGACACGGAAGGTGTGCATAGACACATAAACAAATCTGCATGTACAACATTACAAGAAAGCTTTTTGCTCAAAATAAATGTGTTAACCTTGAGAAAGTGGGGTTGTGTGCAAGCCATCATGTTCTAACCCTTTATTCCTTCCCTGATAAAGGCCTTTTTGTATAACTGAGATGTACATTATTTTTCAGTTTTTGTTAAATGCAACTAATAGTGCTGGTCATTTTGATTTTATTTGCACTTGGAGTTTACATGAATTGCATAGGAACATGCTATGTTTTCCTGTGCCATTCACATCTTATCTGGGTGCAGTGCAATTTCAGCCAATTGATTTGAATGGGCTGAAATTGCACTAGACTGCAGTAGTACATACACTACTTTACGGAACTCACAGGAACCGAATCACATGGCACTTCTATACTGTGCAATCCGGAGCAGGCAAGCGCAGTGCTTTTTGAACGCAGTACAGGAAACACGGGTTTCCCCCACCACATTCTGGTGTGAACTGGCCCTAAAACCGCAAAATAACAGCTACGTTTGTATTGTGTTTGTGTAACTTAATATTCTTTGAACTCGTAATCCAGGATTTTAAAGAAGCCTATAATGAGAAAAATACAGAGGTTGCTTGATGTATTTAAATATATTTTCCAAGGTTAGAGCAAAGCAAGTTTATACTCACAAAATGCTTTACAACAAGTTCTCTACATACAAGTCCCAAGAGCATGCTCTTAAGTCTAAATTGTTCATAAGTCAACGCTTTCAGCCAGTGGCTGTGAGCACTGACCAGTGTGTTCTGGTGTGGGGCCCCTCCTTTGTCAGAACAGAAAGGCACAGCAGGGAAAATCGCTGCACTAACGTTGCTTGTGTTAGTACTGCGATCTTTCAGTTTTTTTATTTCTTTTCGTTCAACCCGATGGGTTGAAAGAAAAAGAGCTGAGTGTGTGTACCCAGCTTTACATGATTGGACGTGCAAACACATGTTCACATCTTGAAAGTTTGCAACTTGAACGTAGGGGGACTTATTTGAAGTAGAAAAATATTTAAAATGTAACAGAAAACACTGAGTGTATATTTTCAAAGTCCCTAAAAACATACTAAAATCCCATAAACTGCAGTGGAATATGCTACGGGATAACAGATGTCTTTCGTGTGTGTGTGTGTGTGTTTGTTAGGAATTTTAAAGCTCCCTTCATTTCTGGGCGTTTTGTATCGGGCAAAATCACCATGATTCTGCCTGCGATCTCAAAACAATGACAAATCACACCACATGTGTTCAGGTGCCATTCTTTTCTTTTTCAATAGCACCTAAAACAGTGTGATTCTGTTGCGATTGCCCCATAAATCTTGCTGCAGATGTGCAAACCGCATAGTGTGAAGCTCGTAGCCCCAAAAAGAAGCCCCTGCTCCTTTTTTAGGCATCCAGTTTTGCATGGTGTGGTTTGCCACGATCTATCATGCAACAATTGCGTCAGAACCACACCGCATTTTTAGGTGCCTTTGAAAATGAATGGCAGCTGAATATGCATGGTGCACTTTGTCATTTTTTGCACAGTGTTATGAGAATCTCTGCGATTCTGCCCATGATACAAAATGCCCAGATGTGAACGGAGCCTAAACATATCCCCTCTGAGTGTTTGTTGTTACCGTCTAAATTTATTTTATACTATATCCTATGTGAGTGCAAACTTTGTTTCAATCTTGGAAACAATTTTTAAATATTGTCTTTTTCTAGTATATGTTGCACCTCAGTTTGGAGTACTGTAAGAAGGAAAAATCCTAGTACACATAAAAATATTGGCCGAAAAATACCACTTTCAAAGCGATTGTCCAATAATCTGATTGTTCGTACATAACTTTCGAGAGCCGATCATGACTGCTCATTTGAAAATATCCGAAGGGACAAGCATGAAATTTTTTCTCGTACTTTACCAGAATTAAAGATTTTCGTTTGATTAGCACAGTATTCATCCCCAATAACTCGATTGACCAAGACCGTGCATGCTCCAAAATGAAAGAATACAATACATTACATCACTTCCGAAATTGAATTCTGTCATAAGAGAATTTTTGTAACTTTAGTAACCTCTTCATTTTCTATATAAGACTAGCATACAGAAGAAAAAAAACAGACTCATTCATCCGATATTTGCATTGTGTGTATGAGGCTTTAGAATTCCTAAAAAGAGTGTCAGTGTATTTTTTTCTCTATAGCTGCTTGGAGATCTTTCCATGAATATATTGATTACCTAGCTATCTTCTCTCTGAATCACTGACTCAGAACAAGCATTCAGATCAGGAAAGTCTCACTGCGACAACTTGCTTGTTACTGTGCTGTGCTGCTATTTACTCTAAATGGAACCCTAATGCACTTTTCCAGCACACCTGTGTTGCAGTGCACTACCATGTATTGCAGTTTGTTTCCAAAAATCCTGTAATGCATGCATTTCTGGCTTGCTGTGGAGGGTTCCAATGCATAGGCTGCCTTAACACATTGCATGTTAACGCAGGACCCAACGCATTTGAGTGTAAAGCACCGTTATGGACTATGTGGGTCTGAATGGGCCCACAATGAAGTTATAACTCCTGGTCTGTATATTTTCTATGTCAGTGGTTTAGACTATACTGAAGCCACTGATAAGTGTCAGCCAGGCAACATCATTCTACAGATATCAGGAATAGTAACAATTAGACTTGCTCAGTAAAAGCTATATTACCTACAGAGAAATATTTGTGACCTTTTACATATTGTCAGCAAATGTTAAGATAAAACTCCATCACCAGATATTTGTTTAAGTTAAGGGGACCTTACAGATGGTAATAAACAGACCAGGCCTGACCTGATTGGGACTTCGATGGCTTAGGAAAGTACAGGTATAATTAATATCTAAATTTACATATCTTATAAGGTTTATCAAAAATGTTGTGGTATGTTTGGTGTGTTAATTTTGTTTTTTTCATGTTTATTCTTTGTTTGTGGCTCCTGTTCCTCTTCCAGAGAGCCATGTCCTCTAACAGATGAGCAAATGGTTGCAGGGTAAGACCAGACATTCTAAACAATATAGCTTTGTTTAGAATATGTCTCTCTCCTTATTGAGTCTTCACCTCTTCCTACTTGTTCTAAAGTCGCTTATCACAAGATAAAAAAACTCTTAACTCCAGCTTGGATATTAACATTTAACAAATTGTTACAAGCTAAATGCTAACATTTCTATGCGCAAATCTTTGCTTAATTCTGATAAAATTTTCATTTCATATTGTTCCTGTGATATAATGTAACCCAATTCAGAATAAAATCATGTTGCGTAAACCAAAACAAATCTGTAGCAATGAATTGTGAATGTGTAATAGGATAACACTATGGATTTTCTTCAGCAAGATTTCTGGTGTTCACACCAATGGCATTATAGACCACAGAATATATCTCCATAGTGTTTGTTGTTTCATGTTTCCATGCATGTTCCAGGGATCATAGCAGCCAATCAGCTTAAAAAAAGTACTGGACAGTGGCAGTTAAAGAATTGTAATTGACATTTCGTATACAAAACTTCTATTTAGCACATTGAATAAATATAGAATTAATTACTAAGGATTTTAAACTCTTTACATGGCGCACAGAGATAACCATGATAGTTTAGAGTAAAGGCAACACCCACAAACCCACAGATATGCACCATTTTATCTCTCTGAAACCATATGTTGCATATGCGTACATTCCTTTCCATGGGTGTTGTGCTTTTCTTTTTTAACCCTCACGTAACTAGACATATTCAAAATGTGTGAATACATTGAAAGTGAGATGTATGTGAAAAGAATAGCAGTCATCATATATTAGAACAGTCAAACCCCTTTCAAGCCAAAGACATTATCCTAGATCATAAGAAGTGTGTGTGTGTGTGTATTTATGTATGTATGTATGTATATTCAATATTGAGTTGGCCCACCCTTTGCAGCTATTACAGCTTCAACTCTTCTAGGAAAGCTGTCCACAAGGTTTAGGAGTGTGTCTATGGGAATGTTTGACCATTCTTCCAGAAGTGCGTTTGTGAGGTCAGGCACTGATGTCGGACAAGAAGGCCTGGCTCACAGTCTCCTCTCTAATTCATCCCTAAGGTGTTCTATCAGGTTGAGATCAGGACTCTGTGCAGGCCAGTCAAGTTCCTCCACCCCAAATTCGCTCATCCATGTCTTTATGGACCTTGCTTTGTGCACTGGTGAGCAGTCATGTTGGAACATGAACGTGCCATTGCCAAACTGTTCCCACAAAGTTGTTAATATGAAATTGTCCAAAATTGTCCTGGTATGCTGACACCTTAGGAGTTCCCTTCATTGGAACTAAGGAGCCAAGCCCAACCCCTGAAAAACAACCCCACACCATAATCCCTCCTCCACCAAACTTTACACTTGGCACAATGCAGTCAGGCAAGTACTGTTCTCCTGGCAACTGCGCACTATGCGCATCAGCATGCGCTGACCCCGCTCTGTCATTTTACGTGGCCTACCACTTCATCGCTGAGTTGCTGTTGTCCCCAGTTACTTCCACTTTGTTATAATGCCACGAACAGTTGACCGTGGAATATTTGGTAGCAAGGAAATTTCCTGGATGGACTTATTGCACAGGTGGCAACCTATCATGGTACCACGCTTGAATTCACTGAGCTCCTGAGAGCTACCCATTCTTTCACCAATGTTTTTTAGAAGCAGTCTGCATGCCTAGGTGCTTGATTTTATATCACAAAAAATAGAACAGAAACGAGCCACCCAAAATGACACAAACAGCTGGTGTCATTGTCATATCTCCGACTCACTTATATAAGTGTGGATCCATGAACCCAGAAAAATGCATGCTAAACAATATGGTAGTGTGACAAGAGCACCCCTACCTGGAGAAAGTAGGTTACTGAATGATCCACGCGGAGTAATATGATTCAAAAGAATTTCCAACAATACTTTATTTGATCACATAGATCATAAGGAGGTTAAACATGAGCACGGTGAACATGTCAAACAAATAAAATCATGTTAAAAAGCACTTGGCGTCTTCATTTTAGGGTCATCTTAGCAAATAGAGTACCATATAAGGCAATGTAGGGTAATGGTAAGATAATTATCCTAGATTTCCATGAGTTTCCAACTTATATTAGAGTGAGCCATGTATTCAGCAGATATGTTCCCAATGTACGTCAGGAGCCTCCTGGTATGTGAAAGCTGGAACACAGAAATACATAGTGTATGTATAAAAATATAGGAGCCGAATCACATCTAAGGCTCACCAGGCCTCCCTCTACAGTAGTCAATGGATACTTCTATTACCTTCTCAAGGATGAGGCTATCAAACCCGCTTCTCAAATGTGGGGACTTCCTGGGTAACCACCCCAAGTGAAACAAGGTCCACAGTACCAAATGATTCTGGGGATATATATATAAAAAAATGAATGTATAGATCACAGGCATCAAGTAAACCATGAAAACAAAAAACACAATGTGGGTATATTACCATCAATAAAGATCAAGAGGACTCCCGTCGACTTGAAATAGGATCAGGTCCTTGATGCTTGTTCAAAAGGTGCATATGGGGGTGGAGAGCCAGGTAGTCACAGTGCGTGGATTCCAAACATATGTAATATGTATTAGCAGGCCATGGATACCTGAGTCTATATACCCAATGAAGGGTTTCCAAAAATTACTCAAATTGAGAAAATTGTTGCGGTTTCATAAGGGTATGGCTATGTCACAGCATATAATACCTGAGTAGGATAGCGTATATATACATGTATATTATCCTCCTAAGAGGATTTCCAAAAAATTCCCCGAATATACAGGGTATATTATAGTTCTGACGAAGTCTGCGGTGATTGGCGGACGAAACGCGTCAACGTATTGACGTCACTACGCTCGGCGTCTTCATAGGGCGGCGCCCACGAGGCGGGAAGGAACGGCGGTGTCACAGCTCCCTGCTAGGAAGGCACAAGGCCCTCTGAAAACTACCATAAGGCTACTATTACAGCGGTTCGCAAACGGCAATCCCCTAGGGGAACATACCTTCCACCGGTGGCAAGTTATCTAAGCTTACAGCTGTTTAGTTTATAGAGCATTAATGGTGTTAAGAAGGCATATCATATGGGCCTAATTTACCCTGTATATTCGGGGAATTTTTTGGAAATCCTCTTAGGAGGATAATATACATGTATATATACGCTATCCTACTCAGGTATTATATGCTGTGACATAGCCATATCCTTATGAAACCGCAACAATTTTCTCAATTTGAGTAATTTTTGGAAACCCTTCATTGGGTATATAGACTCAGGTATCCATGGCCTGCTAATACATATTACATATGTTTGGAATCCACGCACTGTGACTACCTGGCTCTCCACCCCCATATGCACCTTTTGAACAAGCATCAAGGACCTGATCCTATTTCAAGTCAACGGGAGTCCTCTTGATCTTTATTGATGGTAATATACCCACATTGTGTTTTTTGTTTTCATGGTTTACTTGATGCCTGTGATCTATACATTCATTTTTTTATATATATCCCCAGAATCATTTGGTACTGTGGACCTTGTTTCACTTGGGGTGGTTACCCAGGAAGTCCCCACATTTGAGAAGCGGGTTTGATAGCCTCATCCTTGAGAAGGTAATAGAAGTATCCATTGACTACTGTAGAGGGAGGCCTGGTGAGCCTTAGATGTGATTCGGCTCCTATATTTTTTTATACATACACTATGTATTTCTGTGTTCCAGCTTTCACATACCAGGAGGCTCCTGACGTACATTGGGAACATATCTGCTGAATACATGGCTCACTCTAATACAAGTTGGAAACTTATGGAAATCTAGGATAATTATCTTACCATTACCCTACATTGCCTTATATGGTACTCTATTTGCTAAGATGACCCTAAAATGAAGACGCCAAGTGCTTTTTAACATGATTTTATTTGTTTGACATGTTCACCGTGCTCATGTTTAACCTCCTTATGATCTATGTGATCAAATAAAGTATTGTTGGAAATTCTTTTGAATCATATTACTCCGCGTGGATCATTCAGTAACCTACTTTCTCCAGGTAGGGGTGCTCTTGTCACACTACCATATTGTTTAGCTTGATTTTTATATATCTGTGGCCATGGAGGTGATTGGAACACCTGAACACAATGATTTGGAGGGGTTTCCCAAATCAGCGCAGAAGTCACCAACTGTCTTCATAGTCAATAGCTAAAGACCTCCAAACTTTGCGGCCTTCAGCTTCATGGAATGGGTTTTCATGGCTGAGCAGCTGCATCCAAACCTTACATCACCAAGTGCAATGCAAAGCGTTGGATGCAGTGGTGTAAAGCATGCCGCCACTGGACTCTAGAACAGTGAAGATGTGCTCTCTGGAGTGAGGGATAATGTTTCTCTGTCTGGCAATCCGATGGATGTGTCTGGGTTTGGCGGTTGCCAGGAGAATGGTACTTTCTTGGCTGCATTGTACCAAGTGTAAAGGGGGATTATGGTGTGGGGTTGTTTTCAGGGGTTGGACTTGGCCCCTTAGTTCCAGTGAAGGGTTAAGGCGTCAGCATACCAAGATATTTTGGACAATTTCATGGTCCCAACTTTGTGGGAACAGTTTGGGGATGGTCCCTTTCTGTTCTCACATGACTGCGCACCAGTGTACAAAGCAAGGTCCATAAAGACATTAATGAGTGAGTTTGGGGTTGAGGAAGTTAACTGCCCTGCACAGAGACCTGACCTAAAAACATAAGAAACACGTTTGGGATGAATTAGAGTGGAGATTGCGAGCCAGGCCTTCTTGTCTGACATCAGTGCCTGACCCCACAAATGCACTTCTGAAAGAATGGTCAAACGTTCCCATAGACACACTCCTAAACCTTGTGGACAGCCTTCCCAGAAGAGTTAAAGCTGTTAAGCTGCAAAGGGCGGGCCAACTCAATATTGAACCCTACAGACTAAGACTGGGATGCCATTAAAGTTCATGTGTGTGTAAAGGCAGGTGGCCCAATATTTTTGGTAATATAGTGTGTGTGATAGATAGATATATTATAGAGAGAGGTGTGTGTGTGTATGTGTGTGTGTATGTATATATACACACACACACACACACACACACACACACACACACACACACACACTCTCACACTCACACTCACACTCACACTCACACTCATACACACACACACACTGTGATCACCAGTGTGTTGATTTCAACTGTAAGTCTTACTTTACATTTTGCTGTGCTTAGGCAAGACTGGTATAGTGGTTAGTATTCTTACAGCACTGGTGTCATGGGTTTGAATTCTACCATGAATTTTTTGTTCTCTTGTGTTTGTGTGACTATTCTGATTATTTATCTGTCACTCATAACATATAAATTACATCTATAAATACAAATACTGCAACTGTGCTAGATGGGATGTAGAGTATATAGTTTTTTTTTTTTTTAGTCCTCTCCTTAAGTCTCTCCTTTTTCTTCTTTTTTTTTTTTTTTTTTTTTTTAAACCAAGTTTTATTATTTTTCTTTATTTTAATACAGTTCACTTAATATTTAGACTCGTATCTAACGTAGGTGTTTAATCTAGTGCCTATTTGGCTAACTTAGGTTATTGCCCATTCACATATATGCGGATTGGATGTGGTTTGAACGGCATCCAATCCACATGACATGTGAAATAGCATTGCTTCCTATCACATATGTCTGGTGCACTTCCAATGCAGATTCAGTGTGGACTCAATGTGATTTAAAAAAAAGACTCGTATGATTTTTGAGCAGTGCAGTCTGGTTCAGGTACGGATTACAGGCTATTGACTTCTATGGGAACCGATTCTAAACCTGACGTGTGAACAGGATAGAATCCTGAGCTGATATTGTCCTGAACCTGATGTAAACCTGACCCGGTGAACACCTACTGTGTCAGTTAGCTGTGAAACCTGAGCTTCAGTTCGCACCGCACATGTGTGAATCAGCACTGTGGTTTGCAACGTGCATTTAATTTTGCAATATTCAATTTAATGAATGTCTTTTAGTAACTGTTCTATAAAGAGAACAGAGAATACTATGATGCAGTTTCACCTATCTATTGATAGACAAAAAAAAACAAGAAAAACTGCAGCACACCCAAATTATTGTGATAGTAAAATGGGTATTGTTCGACTTATTTCTTTGATAATGTGGGGATTGAGCAGCATCTTTGGTGGCTGCATAGGTGAGTACAGCAAAGTCCATTGGCTGTTAGAGTCTTTAGGAGTCTGTACATTTGGCAGGCTAGTTATGACATTACTTGCTGGATGCAGTGGCATCTTGAATATAGTAATAAAAAAACTCATTCTTTCTTTAACTGTCATTTTTCAGTAGTTGAGTTGTGTACATAGTAATAAACGAATCATGTAATTTATCAGTAATTAATGTAATTGTATGTCATGTTCATGGCTTTCTGATAACAGCACTTTTTTCTCAGTATATATGATTCTGTGCAGAGCATGGGCTTAAAAAGCATGCAGTTGCAATGTAATTCTTTCAATGTCCTTACAATTCTTCTTTATTACAGAATTAAAATATTATAGCCCCTAAAAATGTTATTCCTAACCTTTGGTCCTATATGTTGTCTGTTAAAGATTTTCAGATGTTATACTGGCAACAATTTTGGCTACAAAGTCAGATATGTGTGGTA